CTGAACAATGTAAGGGGGTACCCTGAATCACCCAAGGTACGTGGTCTGCTTGTCACTCCAAGTCACATCTTATTATAGAAAGAGTTGTGACATGAGTGTGTCAATTTGTTGGAGCCAAAATGGTGGAATGCGCCACTGCACATGGACAATACGGCCGTTTCACAATAAAGCGCCACCAAGAGTTTGCAACTCGTTGGCAAATCACAATGCGCGAAATTTGTTGACCCATTGCGCGTTTGGAAATGGTCGACAAATTTCGCGCGTTATGATAGGCCAGCGTGTTGCAAACTCTTGGTGGCGCACTATTGTGAATCGCCCGTATTAGCACACTGTAACTGTATGCAGTGCTACACAAAATGAACAGAAAGTGTGAAGTTGGTGCCACTCTATATTCAGCTCTCCAAGCTTATACTATTGTAGTGTTCATAAGGCAAAATTACATACACAATTTTCAAAAAACATGGGCCACACCTATTTTCTTAAAATTTCAAGAAATCAAACTTTCAAAACCAAAAATAAATTCCATGCCTGGAGTCAGATCGTTCTCTAACAAAACTAATAACCACAAGTGTTTAAGGTACAAGTATGTCCAGAGATACATGAGTATCACCTACCCCAGGGGGTCCAATGATCATGCCAGTCCAATCACTCAACGTCTTGTCATCCTCGTTCGCCAATCCCCAGCTTATTGTACCATCACCAGCGCCCTCCTGGCCTTCCTCCAACTCTTCCAAGAGACGGAAGTTTCGAGGCACAGTAACTGGTCCGCAAAAGAAACAGACAAGACCCAAGGTGTATCAATGTGATTTTCAAAGCTTCAGACTACGCGTGTACCGTGACTCGTACGCTTCCCAGCGTCTGACTGCATTTGTGAGCCGCAGTGAAACACGGATTTGGTGGAAGCTTGAGACTCTATATCTGTCTAAGGAAATAGCAAATCTCTAAATACCTGCACGATTTCAGACTTGAAATATTGAGGAATTGACGTGTGCGACTTACTACATAATATTGAAATTTACAACATTAATTACATGTAAGTTGTTCCAGGGACGGATCCAGGTTTTTTTGGGGGGGTCGACCCCTTACCCTCTGGTTCCGCACCTGTGTTCATTAGCGCTGCTGATATAAAACGTGTCGCCCTGCATAAATCCTAAAGAAGAAAGGAAGTCCCATTTCAAAAATGGTCAGTCTCGAGAAAAAGTTTATGCACTATAGGGCTACCAGCGTGTTGGATGAAGAGTGCCCTCAAGGAATGAAATAAATAAAGTAAAGAAGAAATAAAATCTGTTTGTCCATATCAAGCCACACATACTCCGTGTAACAACATCCTGGAGGGACGTTTTCTTTAAAAAATAACTCTGGAATAAAAGTTCCGGAATTTATTCAAGAAAACTTGTGCCCCATCCCAGCTGTTACTAGGGCATCATAGCCCTTCTTTAAAACAAATGTTGTTCTCTTCCAATTAAAAATCTCCGAAAAAAAAAACAAACGTACAAAATATACCAGACTATTTTTTATATGCAACTTTGACATTATCAGAATGATCCAATTTCCTGGGGAAAGATCTGAATTGATAATTGTCTATGACGCACTGAGCGTCATTCTTGCCCAGAGCCGCTAGTTGGATCCTGGGTTTAAATGATCCATATTTAAGCTAATTAAAACCCATGTATGTCAGTTCGGTACACCTATTTTAGGCAGTGCGCACATGCGCCTGCACTCTTCCCAGTCACGTGTAGTAATCACTAAGATAGCACTAACTGTTTACACGATACAGAGCTTGGATTTTCTTCCTCAAGCGTTGGAGATGGAGCTAACTCAACAAGTGGCAATAAAAAAAATCAAATAGAGTTGAAATAGCCAGGCATACCTGCGCCACGAATGGACGAAGATACAACTCCTAGATTGCCCAGTATGGCAACGCATACAAACATAAACTTCCACATCGTAGGAACAGGTGCTGAAGTGCTGCTGTGATGTGTCGGTGGAAGCTAGCAGGGCAGCGTTGTAGACTAGACTTAGGCCTATAATCTCTCTCAATTTGCCGTGTACAATCTTTACTCTATCACTCGCTAAGTATTCCCTGTAGACTATGCAATGGTCGCTCTTACTATATATCTTTGAACTGCACAGCGTAGCGCAGAGATTTGTTGGGACCAGATCCTAGTCTTTCTCTCTCTCATATACATAGCATATTTTTGCTGATGGTTTAATGCACACAACCATCCTTGCATTCCCAAGCTCTGTACAATAGATTCATCAGTGCCTGACAAGTTTGCAGTTACTCGTGCGAGTGTTCTTTAGTGAAATCCAGTCGTGTACAAGTGGCTTTACATAGGACTTTGGATATCCCATTCATCTTGTTGACCTTTCCAAAGTTTATTCAGTTGTGAAAGCCTGTAGGTACATGTAGGCCGAGGTGTTCCACCTACTCTACTATGCAAAATTCCACTGCAGTGGCACAAAAAAGCCATTATTTGCAGAAGCCATCATCTAAGACGAACTACGACGCGTACGAACCCTGCATGGTGTACGACTTGTGACTAGTTTGTTTTACTGGTCGTGGATGTATAAAGCAATACTATGTCATAGGGTCTATGTCATCCCATGCCGGGTCTGGGTGCATGTAGCTCACATATGGATTCGTCATACGACAGTCTTGGCTAAGAGTATAATTTGATTTTGGCTCAATTTAAGCAATAGCTAGAGTCAATTTTCTCCAGTTTTTGTCTCGTGGGAGAAGTTACCTCAGGGATATAGGACTGTCTCACTCACGCATTTTCATGCTGCAGCTTTTCACTGAAAAGTCCTCGTCTCCATTCCACTTGTATCAACCGACCCTGACCAGATTACATAGCACATGTATCTACCGTTTAGGTGCGGATCGCCGCATTTACCAAACCACCATGCCCCTTAATTGAGGCTTACTACGTGTGTCGAGTCGTCTTCGTCATTATCGCGGTCTTATTTGAAAAGGGTAAGCCTCGGTGAACGTTGAGAGCCTTGCCACCAGTGGAGCTGTAGTAGTACTGTCCATGTTCTAGGCGGTACACACTTTGTGAACCCCCCATTGAATTCTCTGTTTGCCCCGCCCACCGTGGCGCAATTCTTTCAGGGTGCATTCAACCAATTGGATGTATTTCTGTACTTGAGCTCATTAATATTTTGTGATCCCACGGGATTTTTACAATAAAACAGGCCACAATCAGGAGGCATCATAGAAATATTTCTATAAATTCCGAATTTAGGACTGATGTTTCCAGTTCGGGTTACTTCTTTCACAAAAAGCCCCAAATAGTGCGGGCCTGTATTATGGATAGGCGGGCGGCAACATTCAGAAATGAACGTTTAGTTTACTGCTATTTTGGGGGTATCTTCGTTCAAATGCGAATAAATAAATGTTCGAGGCTAATCCCCATGAAATTGAAACGAAAAGTGATCTTCTGGCCATAATCTTGAATTTCCAGCGAAAAAACGGAGGCCAACCTCTTCACGAGAGTCAACAGGCGGCGCTATTTCGGTCTGATTTCGTACTGTTTTCTATGAGCACGTATTTTCGGTGCAGTGCAACCGTCCAAGCCGAAGTTGATCAACTTTAACCCCAGGGCTTTTTGACTTTTTTGTTGTAAGTCCGAGCGTGTTTTCAGTAATAGTTGCAAACGAGATTGTGAGACAAAGGACACTGAGCGTGGCTCCCGGGCAAGCGCTTTTTAAAGTGTTGAAAACAGCGCAAGAGAGTATAGGTACCAGACTCATTATGTACACGTCGAATTCACGCGAAGTCGAACAGCGAAATGTCGATTGTGGAGTTCTGTCCACGAAGTTTCTCCTCTTACCAAGAGACTTATTCCTCCCCTAAAATGTGGCAATACATGTATTTTATTGCAGTATTTATGATAACTGTCTTTGGGACGTGTTGGTGTGTGGAGCACGATCTGACAATCGTTGTACCAGCTGGTAGGAGGGAATGTTTCCACCAACACATCAAAGCCCAGAAAACTTTAGATTTCGAGTTCCAGGTAGGCCGAGGGCATGTAGGGTGGACGCACGACTCTTTGCCATGGTTGCCGCAGCTGGGTGCCTCAGGCTAATCAAATCAGCATTTCCCACCGTATCAACGTTCATGACGTCAATACGGTTTTTTACTATTGTTTGGTTGACACAGTTGGAGTGTGCAGAGTGTTGAAGTAGACTTCAATCTAGTAGTAAAGAAGTGTTAAATTTGCTGTCTGACAGCAAATTTAATAGGCCTACTGGCATATACCCCATAACCGTGGTGTTCACCCCGCTCCCACGTGGGAGTGGGGTGGACGTCGAACCCCACTTATCTGGGGGTAACTGGCGTATGTACATGTAGGCCCACATACATGTACATTGGTCTCTATGCCTACTGCATTTTTACTTGTACATGTACATGTATTGAATGGGGCCGGTCTGGGGTCTCTGCCGAAAAGAGAAGGAAAAGGTTGGCGTAAAGAGAGAGAGAGACATGACAGATTTTCAACTTCATGTTTAGGTCATTGAAGGTGGAGACATGGATATAAATTTTATATTGAGGACCCCAACCAACAAAGCCCTGGCTACTGAGGCACGCAAGCAGGAGGGAATTTATACGTAAGTTGTAACCAATTCAGAGTGGCTGTACATGTATGATTATTGTTACAGTACAAACCATAACACGACGACTTTCAACAGGACTGCAACTTTTCCACAATTAAATTGATGTCCTCATTTTTCACCTTACATTCATGCCATTGAACATCGAGAAACACTTTACAAAATCTAGTAAAGATTGGAATTTCCTCATTTAGTGTCAGTGTCCAGTTGAATGCCTGCTTCAAAATCTATAATTATGGCATTGCACAATTACCATTGTCAGACTTAAGAGTACCGAAGTGCAGTGCAAACGAATGGATTGGCTCTCGCGCTAATGCCTTTTACACACATAATTGTGCCTGTGATGTGTTCACTTCGGCACTCTGTAGAGTTTCAATCTCCACCTGTTGTCGTTCTACTGCCCGCAGTAAGTGAGCTCGTGGTGCTTAGTTTGTCATTATTTTCTTAATTTGTGTATTTATTTTCTCAATCAGACATGTCAGACCCTGTGTGTACTTTCCATCTATGTTTTTCTTTTCTGTTTTGGTACATGTAGATTCATACCCGTGGAGGACATTTTAAGGGAAATGTAAACTCTGAGATCTATTCATTATCGATTGATCTAGTTCCCATTTTCAGTGCACCAGAGTGGTACAAGAGTAGACAGCAACCTGTCTTAACTTCCGTAACTACCGTACATGTACATACTGTAGCTAATGTGTCACAAATTTCATGTAAGTGTAGTTTCCATGATGGTCATAACATTCAGCGAGTGTAGTATTCTGACAGTGCATCCCGAGAATGAATTCCATTTGAGGTCATTGGGATGCACAAGTTACCAGTACTGGTATGTGTAGGTCTACCCTGTTGACACTACACCGTGCAACTTGCACGCATGTTTGTTCCCTAGTGGGCTTGCTTTTTTTGAATATGACCTATTTATCAAGTTTTGTAATGCCAGCAACTGAACAGCAGATAGATCTGGAGAGGATGGTGTTTGGCATTTTAACGAAAAACAATTGGAAAGAAAACACATCCAAAACTGTGCTAAGTTTCCATATGAGTTGCCTTTTTAGGTGATTAATTACTAGTTCTCAAAGCTTTCTTGTTACTTATTTTCTGTGGGTTAATTGACTCTCGAGATTCCATCTACTCAAGTTTTCATCTCTTTTGCTTTGGTTTTGATTTCAGGTTCAGCACTCAAGAGACTGGGGACTATCTCTTTTGTTTTGACAACTCTTTCAGTAGGATGTCAGAAAAGGTAACGCAGGTCCACATGTAGTAAACCCCCCCCCCTTCATGGCCCTGGTCTTTTGTAGGTATTGGTCATGCTTTGAAGCCCCGGGGTGGGGATTATGGTCGCTTACTGATACTCCATGGTGAAAAGTGAGTGGGTTCCTATCGATCTACACTGCAAAATCATTCAAAGGACTTTTTACTCCAAAGTGGCTCTGGCAACTTAAGACTCATTTTGACAGATGGGGGTCACTAATTGTCTAAGATGTTACTTTATGATCTAAGTAGGTTTGGTGTAGGAAACAAAGAATTCAACAATGCCTTTTCATAAGGCCCCCTGTCCCTTCGCACAGTATAATACAAGTTTGTGATTCTGGGTACCATACGTGCATCAATTTACAAAGTATCAACCACATAAAAACAAGCACTATGTAAAGACCTGTTATTGTTATTAAGCTCGTGCCAAAACTAGCCCTGCTGATTTCTGTCACCCCGTGAGCTTTGGAGAAAAGCAAGTTTTATTTGGTATTGTTTTGTATGTGTACCAAAAAACCTCACATGTGGTAAGCCCATATAGTGATTTATTCAAGGTATGGTGTGACACTTCCTACTGTATTATCACCTATTGAAACTCCCAAAACAATGGCACCGAGCGATACTGACTTGCTACAGTGCCCAGCTGTGGCCCTCTCTGGCATGAGGGCTCCACACATATTTAACCTCCATGGACTACAAGTAGTTCTGTGTACATCATCAGTGGGAATCGCTTAAGTGTAATTAAGAATTAGCCACATATTGAAACTCTTTCATTGTCACAAGCACAGGAAGTCCCTGTTTACCCATTATCCAGCATGAAGTGGCTAAGTACTGTAAAAAAAATGATGTTCAGCACCTTCAAGGTTAGATTACATAGTTACTGTGCAGCTCGATATCGATTTCTCGTCAGCTGGTTTATTTCGACTTGGCCTTAGACTACGATGACGAAGATGAAGTGTTGAAGAAGCCTCCGTGGATGGATCTGATGACAGGAGTTGGAGGGACTGACACGGCAGAAGTACGACTCGAGGAAATCCAGGTACATTGTGATACCAGAGGTGTAGGTGGAGTGTTCCCAGGGTGTCGTGTTGGACAACCTGAAGGGCATTTTGGATGCCCTATTTGTTATGCAGATCAGGGTCGCAAGCATGGTTGGTAGCTCTGTTGGCTGGCATTCCAAAATGCTGGCTGGCCTTTCGGGTGAAAATGAAGCTTGCTGGCAGGCAGAAATATGGTTGCATTACACTGTGCTTGAATGTGGCCATTTCAAAGTTTAGATAGAGATAAAAGGCTTTAAAAAAGCGGAAAGATAGTATTGTCTCACCCTTTCCATTTTTTATTTAAAAACAGTTACTATGGCTTCCTGGCTGCAAGTGTTATTCAGTTTCTTAATCACTCCGAAAAGCTTTAATTATGGTACTTGGTCACTTTTTGTGTTGGATTATTCAAAACCATGTTGTGCCAATGAAGGCTTCCTTTCTGAAAACAAAGGAGTGGCCAAAAACCCAATGCCAACATCTTCGCCACTGACCATGCAACTCCTTCTAGAACGGAGGAAAACTTTGACAAGACAAGGAGGGCCTTTTCATTTCACAGGCAGTTGCAGTGTATCTAAACCTGTATTATTGGCACAAAGGAAAAAAACTGAAAATGGTAAATCAGAGAAATGTCCCATTTGATTAATCTGTCGTAATCTAAAAGGAAACATTCATTAATCGAAGAGAAATAGTTCTTGCCTCAGGCGAATGTGCACAACAGCATTAAACTTCAGCAACTCGGATGCATCAGTGACCTGGTCCATTTTTTGAGGAAAAGTTCAGGACCAAGTATTCCCTTAGGAAAAGTTGACCCATTCTAACTCTTTCGAGTTGGAGATCTTAAAAAAAACTTGAACAATGTGCAGGAATAGGAACTCATCAACCTTTTTCTCCTACATTCATGTACATGTGACGTTCATTTTTATCAAAAAGCCAAATTGAGTTATACGTTGGAACAATGGGCTCAGTGTGCTCTTTCCAATGCAAACTGAAACAAATTTAATACTGACAAAGTGCACTTGTCGAAGGATCCTGTCACAGCTTTTGTTTTGGAGTGGTGCGGTCCGTTTGCCATGGATTTTGTTTTGCCTCATTTCAGACGTCGCTAGGCATCGTCAGAGACAACCTGCACAAATCGGTCCAGACGCAGCGCCTACTGCGCAATGTGGAGTTTCGCGACCGCTTCATCGCCGAGCGCAACTACGAGCGCGTCTCGTTCTGGTCCATCCTGACGACCGTGGTGATGTTGGTGACGTTCCTCATCCAGGTCATTATGATCCGCAGTCTCTTCAGCTCTCACACGGGGGGCAAGACCGCAACGAAGACATGATGACGCGCGACGGCGGCAGATCTGATAGTGAAGGGTCCAGGAAGTGGGGAGGGGGAATTGTCTATGAACTCGAAATGCCTTCATTCATCATTGGAATGTTTCTTTAGGGAACACAGTGTAACCATAGAATGCGCTTGTTTTTCCAACTTGAATAGTCCCTGTTCGCATGGTACACAGTGTGCCGTGACTGAACTCTGCTTGACATCTGATTGAAATTGATTGAAATTCCATGCGACCGCTCGCAATTACTCGAGACCTGCCGGCAAAACCTACATTTATATGCGACAGTTCATTGGGAACAAAGGACGGCTGAAGTTGACACCACTGAAAATCGGTCAAAATATGCACATGTACATGTATACTCATCACACATTAATTTGTGTGAAATTGCTTTAGTCAAAGTTCTGTTAGAGAAAAGCCAAAAATTTTCATTGCTTTTGACAGTTTGCTACATGACCTGTTGGTGCGATTGGTTGCGCATTTGCAACTGTGATCGAGATGAAAATTGGGTTTAAGCAAGTAATTGAACGGAACGGATCCTTTTAGATGAACACGTTAGGATGTGCAGAAGGATAACTAGACAGAAACGGGAAAGGGGGCCATCCGTGCATAGCAAAGGACAGCCCCCAAAGACAGCCTCTGCGTTGTTGATGACCAGCTGTCCGATTGCTAGCATTTCTGGCAAGCCTTGTGTTTCGAGACATTCCACTGTATGAAGTTTGGGGGGGGCTATAAAAAGTGGAGCAGATGCAATGAGAAATAGCGGTCATTACGTGAAGCAATTTTTGTAGAATTTCTTAGTTGACATTTTTGTGTGTTTTTTTGGTTTTGATAAATAGGATGGTTATTCGAATCCTGCCCCCTTTTACTAGTGTGTATTGCATGATCTGTTTTTGCTACTTTTTTAAAACTTGTTCACTGGAGGGCTGAAATTTTCAAGTGAAACATAAACACTGCAGTGTTCCAAACTTTGCTCGACTATTTACATTATTTGAAAAGATAAAGTTAATTTGAATGTTTAAGAATTTTTTCTTTCAGTACACGGTTTAAATGGGAAGTTCTCACAAAATTGTATTATGTGGTCACAAGACACTCGCGTCCCATGTCAGAAAAGTAAACCGATGGTATTTTAACAATTGGTTATATCAGTACATGTATATACAATATTGTAAAATAATGATTTTCGCCGCGAACGCCTTGATTAAAGGCTGACAACTAGGCCAAAGGTCGCGACACATCAAAATCAGAAACAAACGTTGCAATAAAAATGAGCACTGTGCATGTAATGTTCGAGAAGAACAGTTTACAAAGTAACGGTGGACTTACATGGAGCGTGCGATTTTTCTCAGATCTTCATTTGATTTTTGCAAAATGTTCTGGTTCAGCCAAAATGCCAGGATGATTTAATCACGGTACCTGGTTCTGCAGTCAGTGTGAGCCCTGCTGTCACTGTTAAACCAGATTTTTCAGGGCATGATTCATCCTTTCGCTCTCCATGTAGCAAGTAGGCCTAAAAAGGTTTTACTCTTAAGCTGACAGTAAGCCCCAGTGGTCATAGTTTTTTAAGTTTTTTCTTAGCTCTCCGCTTTCTGTAATTTACATGGTTGGCTATCGTATCACCTTGTTTTTTACATAATGCGCACACGGTCATGCGCATTTGACGCAAGACACGCCGAGCACACGTGACTTATACATGTATTTGTGTTCGAGCGAACGGTCTTTGCGTGTGCGCCGGGCATGTGTAAGACATTCTCACATTACTAATGAGCAAAGATCGTATAGCGCCGAAGTCGCAAGATGGATAACTCTGCCCAAAAGATGTAATTGCCACGGGCGCCATTTGAGCAAGCGATACGCCTGCGCATTTTACAGTAATGCTTGGGCGTTTGCTCAAATGGCGCCCATGCGATTAAACGTTTTACGTGTATTCACGGTGAAGTTTGCCGTCTTGCGCCGCTTCGCGGCGCTATACGATCTTTGCTGATGAGGACGGTTAAAGAGCTCGATATCAACTTGATTCTCTTATTCTTTTGATTTCTTCCAACCCTTTCATAGTATTAAGGGTATGGTTATGACAAGGTAATTTTGCTGGTCTCAAACTTTGCTGTAATGAAAGCTAACTGTATGCACGAGGTCACGTCTTTTGAGACGTAACACAGTCCTTCCCTATGTGCTCTTATTTGTTGGCCTGTGTGAAACTTGATAACCTTTTATAGTTTGAGAAGGAAGAAAGATTTTCAACGTATTTTTCTATTCAACTTTGTACGAAAATTGACAAATATGGGCATTATTCGTCGTTGAACAAATCGTATGTTCCGATGATATACCCAGTTTAACCAAAGAAGGCCTCGAATGAAAAGCATAAGGAACTTGGGTTACATTTTGTGTAACGGGAGCAATAATATTTCACTATGTGAACTAGAAAGCACATGGAGGAGGAACTAAATTATGTGCAGATGTTGTCAGAAAAATGGGGTCAAGGATTGATTTGAAATCGATAGCCGCCTCTGATCGGGACTGAAAAACTCTTCACAAAATCTATTCACTTCAATGTGTAGAACGCCGGGGAGAGAGGATGAATGGAGTTAACCAAGAAAGCCACTTCACACTGTTTCGAAAACCCTAGCTTATAAGATACACCGTAGAACTTAAATATAAGCGCTCTAACTGTACATGAGTGGAAAGTTAAGGCGCCGATGCGTACGTGTACATGTACAATGTAATCACTCCCACCCCAGGCCTTTCGTTCTCTGCGCGTTCCTCAGTGTGCTTAGATTAAATACATGTACATTGTTTACCACTGAATGCTAACCCGCCGCAAATTTAATTGTGGGCAGTATAGATAGAATTTACCGCCTCAAGAGTGGTGTTACTGTTGATGCGCGAAAGGTACCACCTACGATTGAAACCGCAGTGATAGAATCTCAGGTTGTTCATTTCAGTTCCAAGTAGGACAGATATGCCGCAACTTATGGTTATCCACAGTAAAAACCAAGTACACTTAAGCGGATTGTTGGTTCTTTGCTTGTTGTTTTTTGCTTCATTATGATGTACACATCAGTGGGAGGCCCAAAATTCGATTAGCTTGCCCGCACTGTCTAACGGCACGTGATAGGGGTCACGCACGGTTGACAGTTGATTCTTTTTGATGCGACAAGCGCAGACTCCATTGACTGTGAGAGGCATTGCATAATAACAGACCGATCTACTTCGCCAGCTCACTGCACGCCTGGTCGATCAAGCGTGCTTCAGCGCAAGTCACGTGTACGTACGTGTATCTGGTGTCGCATGTGTATGATGGTAAGCGCCCGTTTTCCTCGTATCGTGGATTTCGATATTTGTGGGCCTGGGAACTTAACGCGGTTCGTTTCTCTGACAACGGATGAGCCCAAATCACACTCATTGAAGATAATTATGTATATTCTGAAAAAAGTACCCAAATGCCTTACACCTTAAATATACATGTACATGGTATGTTGTGTCAGGAATCAAAATTGTGTTAAGACCACTTTATGCACACAATAAAAATGTGTATGAAAAAATTATGATACAGTGTCATTTTGTAAGACAGTGTAAAATAAACAATGTATCATGGCAGGTTTTTAAGGGATGTATTTTGTTCAATTTTCCATAAATGGCGGATGGCTTCTTCCATGCATTTCTATGACCCCTATAGGATACTTTTGAGCTTAAAAGGAGCTGTAGGAACTAACCTAACAAGTATTTCCACATCAAAGTGTCAGTCTGCCATTTACACGTTTAATTAATGGCTTTATAACAGGATCTGCAATGTGAAAACTGACTTTCAACGAGGCGATCGCTAAATGAAAGTCGTACATGACGAGAAGATATATCTGTATTTTGAGTGACCATATTATCTTTATAAGCCAAATCGTGCGATCATTCAATTTTTGTCACTCGGTCCTTGTTTGAACCAAATCACCCTTAACCAACAACTGGTATTGATATACACACTGGTTTATAGACTTTCTCCGGTATGCCTCCCGTTTCAGTTTTGTCATCACTGCACGTTAAAACACCTGAGAGCTTGTTTTCTGCCAATTAGATTTGCATTGGGTAGATTGACTTCTATAATCATGTATATGCACTTGTGTCAAAACTCGTTGGAATGAGTAGGTGGAGGCTTGTTATAGATTGGAGGTCTAATCATTTGGGAATTGATTTCCGCGAGGCATGCACAATGTTCAACAGGTGCATTTTTACTACGATCAAATTAAAGTCTGGAAACGCACAAAGAAAAACGTCCCATTTGTTACCCGACATGTACAAAGTCAACGACAGTTTTTTTATTTCAAAAATTGTCCTGGTTTTTGCTTTAACAATGTATGACAATTTCTTACTAAAACACTTCACATCAAATGGAATGATAACTTGATTTAAACAACTACAATATAAATTTTGAACGCAACAATAAGCATCCCAAGTTCTGAAATATCGTTGCTAATGTTAAAATGACAGGTACTTAACAGAACTGAACGACAGGCTGTGTTCACAGAACTCTGTGACGTAACTCTGTGAATACGGCTCTAGACCAACACAAGGGAAAATCAGACAAAACCAAAACCGCTGTTCAAATGACAAAGAAACTCAAACTCGGCATATTATGCGCGTGTACTGTCTTCTTCAACTTGCTTTCTAGATTTTTTTTCCAGTATGAAAGCTGCACATGCATATATCATCCTTGCATTGAAACCGTAGTGAAGGGCAAACATTATTCGCCGTTACTGGCGGTGAACAAATCTTATGATCAAAAACGTGTATCAGTAAACTGTATCTAAAGTCATGGCTGTCTTTGCCATGCCGCTCCCTGTGAACTACACTCGGAGTGGGTAGTTTAATGTACTTCACTTTCTGAACAGCATACTTCGTGGTCCAATCCTTGACGAGGTTTCCTCAAAACATCTGAAAACCAAATTCCACTTTTCTAGGACTTACAATATGGCAGCTTCCATGACATTCAACACCACTACGCGGAAAAAAGTTAGGCATTACAAACAGGAAGACTGTCGTGTAGCCACAAAAGTATGTGTATACATTGACAAAGAAATATCCTGTAAATCTATTAAAATTAAAACTCATAAAAAAGAACCCTTGCACGACCTCGATTTCCGAGACCATGTCGTGACCTGTTTCCGCCGGCAACAGGATTCTACAGGACACCTTTTGTCCCCAATTTTCCATGCCTTTCCAGATGTTTTTCCAAGGGCTTCTTTACAGGATTTTCCGTGACTTTGGGAACCCTGCTTGACCACGTTGATATCCAAAGCAAATTTTGCTGCCCCATCGTCACCACTGTGCCAGCTCAACAGACTTACCGTGCAGAGGACAGATACCTTCTCAATAATACACCTACATGTGTATTAGGACCTTACGTATCTATCACGGTTGTGCGATTTGTGAAACTGACACATGGGAACGTATCTCTTCCAGACAATATCGCACCCTGATGATGAATTCTCCCCACTGAATCTTTCGCTTCCCCAGATAACACACCTCTGCATGAACTCAAATCTTTTTGACGTCAGTCATGACTACCGCGGCAACCACCTGACGAAGCAGCACTGAACCACGCTGGCCAATCTGCAACAAGACGATTGTCGATGCACGGTGTGTGCAATGACGCATCGACAACCGGAAAACAGCACGTCAGAATGCACATGCGCCCAAGCTACGAGGGCCACTTCTTCAAGATAAAAAAGCCCAAGTCATTCCAGGATTGTAGAGTTCTTTGTTCCAAATCTATATGAAAAGTGCTAATCTGATTTTCAAAAAGCAGTTAGAACTCAACATGTCTGAAGTTGAAGTCAGCTTGGTGTATAACAAGTCTTTGGAAAGGAGCGTTGCTTTGAACAGTAAAATGTACATTTTCTATTCATGATTTCAAACATACCTCCGAAAACAAACAAAACATGAAAAACGTTCAGGATCACCATTCTACATGCAATCCAAGATATTCACCTTTTTATTCTAAAAGCCGCAACTGTCAGGTAAAAGTAACGAAGGCTCGCAAGTTGAGGGCCTTCGGACTCCTAGGTCATCTTGCTGCAAGAGAGAAAGCAAACGCCAATGTGCCCAAGTGCAATGCCACATCGACATGTACAGTGTCAGTACAGAATATAAGACATATTGGGCGGAGCCGGGCATGCAGACAGGATTGCGACATGACGTGTGTAAACGCCATTTTGCTTTCAAAATGGTTAACAATTGGATGCTGGATTGCACCAGACAGATTGATAAAACGCAACGAGGTAAAGTCGGACCAATGGATTGTGCTTTGCATGCAACGTAACTTCATGTAGATGTCCAACAGGAAATTTCACCGGAGACTTTGAGACAATAATGGCTTCTAATCTGAAGGTGACCCAACTCTCTCTCTAGTCTATACTACCCTCTGCTTGAAATGTTATGTTGATGTTAATGGCATGCTAAGAACCCTCCTGGAACTTTAAATTGTACTCCAGTGTACAGGGAAATGGTACATGTATATGTTGTATTACAACATTCCTTTGAGTGCCAGGCCCTGCGTTAATCAGAACCCCGACGGTGCAGCAACGTAGAACAGGTGCAAGAGTCTGTAATACCTTGTCGTATCGAGAAATTAGCGGCAACCGAACATAATGCCCATCTTGAGACAAAGGAAAGTACATGTAGTCTGAATGGGCCAGTACCGCTCTTGGATCCTGTGGTGGCTATCAAACACACACTCTGGGACCGTATGGAGTACCAAAGTGTGACGTCACTGTGAACCAGAAAGTGCAGTGCAAACGAATGGAGTACGCGCGCGTGTTGGTTCACACGCTGATGCCTTTTCACTAATTGTGCGCGTGACGTATTCGCTTCGGTACTCTATGGCCTTGGGGGTTTGTGGATCTGTTGGATCTTGTTGCACTGGGCAGGTAAGCCACTTTAACAAATTGTGCTAACTCGTGGACTTGCCAGGGTTTTCAGACAAAATATCCTGGAGGGTTACCATGACGAGAACAAATCAAAGTGGTTCTTTCCTTAATCTGACATCCTCCAAACCATTTTATGTGTTTCTGAAGATATGTAAAGCTTGGGGTTAACAGTGACAACGCAGAAGATTTACTCATACAAAACATTTTAAAAAGTAGACAAAGGAATACATGAAAAAGGTATTTTTACATATTTACAGATATGGTTCTTAGTGTACAGAAGAGCATGTCATAGCCACAAGTGCTGGCATAAAAAAGGATTTTCAAAGTGACTGAATACTGGGTCAAAGAATATTGATACACGTTAAGATACGATGACAAATGTGACCACTTGTTATTGTGGACAAGTAGAAAGCACCGATTAATATGTTGTTTGATTTCTGTTGCTGACGTGATATGGTCTGAGCAATTCGGTCAAATCAAACAGCATTTTTGCAACGCACCCTTGGAATAGTGGCAATTGTGATGATACAATCTTTTATAATTAAAACTGGGATGAGACAACCCAGATAAAGTAATTGTGCCCCAGCAGAACAGTACTGTACTTCAAAATCTTGCATATTGTTTGATTTTTTAGGATATAGGACTTCTGTTTCATAAATGCAGACGTACCATGCGCAGATTTGAAGTGTGAGAAAACATGTATTGTGACATCATTTTCAAGGCTGAATTCAATCTGGGTACCGATGAACATTCTGGGCAGGTCAAATTGCAGTTAATTTCTTTTATTTCTTGGCATAGGAGATTTTCATGGCTGCCGTAGGGGTGATCTTGAAGCCCTGCAGGGCATCCTTGGCGATTCCGGATTGCGTCTCATTCTCAAACTCCACAAAGGCGATGTCGTGACGGCCGGGTACCAGTCGCACCTCTTTGAATCCCTGAAACCTTTGAATGACAAAATGTGACCCTTTGGATGACTCGAAAAAAAGGCTAAAATGAAGGCTTTTTATAAAGGGCAAGATTTTTAACACTGTTGCTTATTTACTTTGAACTTATGGCGTTAAATACTCCATTTAGCAATTCAATACCAGGAAACATGTAAACGAGCAACAACTTTTCCATGAGTTACAAAGACAACTTGTAAACACATTCTAGCAATTTCCATTTGCTAAAGCAGGTAGCAAGTAAACACATATACCCTCCCGCTTAAGCAATTTCAACTCGTGTTGCACAAAGGGGTCGCTCTGACCCATTCCCTAGACAGCTAGGAAGTGGAGCTCAGCATAAATTCTTTGTGGTACACAAACGATAACATTACAGCACCATCATATCTAACGCATCTTGTATTTCTCTGGAGAACTTCTTCAGTCAGCCGTTGTGGTGACCCACTTTTGTTATGAAAAGTGGCACTAGAACTTGTATCTTGTTTAATAAAGAAGTCGCAGCGTCTGGTCCAAAATACATACCATGTTTCTATTTAACTGGTGGATCTGCAACATACAGGTATCAGTGATTCAAATCCATTTTAGATTCTTTCAAGTGTTTAATAACTAAAGGCACTTATTTCCGCACAAGTCCTCACACTCACAGATCGTCCAGTTTCAAGCCATGTCAGAAGGTATTCGAAAGAACTCAATTCAACGGCCACTTTTAAGACTCGTCATCTGTGGCCAAAGCTGTGACTGACTTGAAATTCCTCTTGTGATGGACTCAATCAGACCAGAAGAAATCGCAGAGTATAAAAAAGAACTTACTGTGTGAAGAGCATCTTCAGCATCTGCTCATTGGTTTCTTCTGGTAGATTCGTCAGGAAAAGGATGGCGTTTGGCTGATCTGGTAGAGGCATAGCTACGAGAACAGACATTACGCATCCGTCAGTGAATAATATGGGTGTTTCACAATAGTGTGTCTCCGAGAGTTTAGTGTGTCTCCAAGAGGTTGCAACGCCTTAACCAATCACAGTGCGTAAAATCTGTCGATCTAGTACGTGTTTGTAAAGGGTCGACAGGTTTTGTGCATTGTGATTGATCAACCCATTGCAAACTCTTAAAGGTGCACTCATTGTGAATTGCCCGTGTTTATGCTGCTTTGACTATATCTTGAGTGGCTAATTGGTTGCCAAATCAGCACATCAAGTGGTAAACTAAAGAGTTTAGATCCATATGTATACATGTCAAGTGGTTGATATCCACTGGGATTCCATACACTCTGGGCAGGAACTTCACGGAGGCATCAGAGGCAATTGCTTGATGCCCTTGGTCTTTATCTCAATGTCCCTTGAAATGTCCCCATAGACAAGTTGATTTTCTAATACAAGTGCCATCTACAAATGAGAAATTGCCTTGCCCCTTCCAGAACGGAGTTCCTGCCAAGCATACTTCTGTCAAGCAGCACTTGGTCCTCATCTTTTCCTCCGAATTTTGCACAAACCATAAAACAATATCTCTAAGTTTTGTCTTGATTCTTTCTCTCACAAGTAAAGGCACATGCTCTACAGGTCTGCTTAACCCTCCTATGCTGAAGTCACTCTTTGGGTCATTTGGTGAACACCTCAAAGAAGCACAGCTGTGTTGTGTTGTGCACTGCACAAACAGTCCTTTACAGGAATATCAGATTGCACTTTTGTGCTGCCCAACAACTGTGCTTCACTGTTTCATATGCATAACTGTTCAGTAAACCAAATGCAGTGAAGAGGACTGCACAAAAGACCCTGGGTCATTTTGTGCTGGCAATGTACTGTGTACACACTGAACCTGTGCACGTTTGAGTTCCATATAGAAACTACATGCTCACCAGTGACTGTGGGCATTTGTGCACATTTGTGCAGTAAAACCAAAGGAGGGTTAAAAAGCTGTACAGGTATTTGATCTCAAAAGGTCGCTTTTGTGCATTTCTTTTGACTGATGTACCACTGGTAATTAAGAAACAAAATTTTCAAAAGCAGAACACAGGTATATTGTACAGTTTTCAATCTGTTAACCCCAACCTTCCTCAATCCTCCAAAATCCTTTGGGTAGTTTTGGAGGATTTTGGAGGATGCCATGAGTGAAGGTCAGGGGTAAGACTTTGATTTGTTCTTGCTCAGTCATGCATGAATTCAGCCTGATATTTCTTTTGAATCAACCGCACAGCTAAGAATGCTGTTCTCACTGCCTGAACATAATGAGAATTGCCCGCGGATTTTGAGGGATTGAGGCGGTAGGTACACCTCCAAACAACATTTTCAGGAAATTTTGGAGGTTTTCAGAGGATTGACTCTGAATGCAATTTTATCATGTCGAAATTCAAAGGATTTTGAAGGATTGAGGGTAGTTCCTAGTAAAAAGGCCGGGAGGGTAGGGTTAATGACAGGAATGACAGGGAATTGAAGAAAGTCCACAAGGCACACTGCATGCCACAAAGTATGCTGTGGGGTAATTTTCATTCGAATGTGTTAATCACAAAGCATATTTGTGCACATTGAAGTGAAAACTACCCTTGCTGCAGCATGGCAAAGCCTTCCCAGTACAGTTACAACTTTGCTTACCTGGTGGCTGCTGCATCTGCATGGGCGGGGGCTGCCCCATCATGGTCGGGGGCATCTGGCCCATCATGGGCGGAGGGGCCTGGTTTGCATTGGCCGCCTGCTTCTTGCTCTTTTTGGATTGAGCTGTGGACACGTCAAACAAAATGCTGAGAAAATGATACCATGGAAACTATTGGGGATGATGCGATGACAAGTACAAGCTGAACATTTGAATGAAACACAAGTCAGGGGGCTGGGTGTTGGGATCCTAGCAAGCTTTCTCAAAGCCTGATGACAGGAAAACATGTTCACATCCGTGCAGCTGACAGCTTTCAACAAAAGGGAACAGGAATGAAGTGAAGAGGCAAAATAGCAGCTTCTGCTGGGAGAAAAACTAAGAACCTATGACGGTGACAACATACATGTACACATAATGGCAAACTGCATAATATAAAAACTACAACAATGAAAGATAGTCAAATCTCTGGGCCACAAAAATCCTTGCTTTAGCATACAAGCATTCAAAAAGCCTTCCCAACTATACAACATGAAATTTAAAAGAAACGAAACTTTTTGGGCACTGCAAAAAACTCTAGATTGATTCAAAAGTTCCATGTGAAATATGAGATCTACAGTCCCAAGGCGATTTCAAATACCAGGCTCCGTCTATGACTCCCACTTCATCCGGGACTCTAAAATGCTTTACATACATGTATGACCCACATGAAAACTCAACCTTTTGACTCCTGTTAGAAGGTTGTGATTGTGTTGCAACTGCTGATTCTTAAATAACTCCACTCATGAAATTGAAACCTTAGGAATAGTTAAGTTAAAGGGTGAAAATCAAGCCGCATGTTGAATTTTGTTTAGTTTGTAATGGTTTTGATTGACTGGTTTGTTTGCTGATTGTAAGCCAACAGTCACATCAAGAACTGCTGGAAACAAGCCTCCACACAGCAAATTTTGATCTTGCACTTCTTACAAACCCAGTGGCCACAGGATCAAGCCAGCAAGCCTGCTCAAGTGCTTTCTGGGTCCCCTTACCCCCAAGCTCAACTGTCCCTTGACCAATCTCACCTTGACCTTCCCAAATCCTCTCAATGAGCCCTTATTGCGTAAGGTGGAGGACTTTGAAGGATTAAGCCGGCATGGCCAAAATACTTGTACTGTGTTCACGTATGTGATCAATTTCCAAAGATAACTACTAACCGTAATTATTTTACACGTATCAGCTGCTTCCATTTGGCTTAATATCGACTCAATGCTATCTTTAGCCATTATTTAAAACTCTTCAAAAACCATCCAGGGAGCAACTCACCAGGGGTAGGGTCGGGCTTCCTCTTTTCTGGCCTCTTTTCTCGGGGGACATAGGTGCCTTGCAGCTTTGCCACCGCATCCGACTGGGACTTGGCGTACTGTATTCTCTGCAAGACAGAATGGAAGAGTACTGTTAAATCTCAAGGCAACGATGGCAACTTCAGTCGAAGCAGTCATGCATTATCTTGACAGCATCGTGCAAATGGGAAAGAAGTGTTTGGGTGTTATGTGACTCTTCAACGAATTCCATGCCCTGATGCACACACAGCTCAAATTTCAGAACACGAGGGAGTGTGGTGCCACTGTGATAAATGGCACCTCCTTGGATTTAGCGTGGACATCTGTGTACAGGCACAGAACAAGCAAAATGCAGGAATTCAGTTGTGGGAATGGGTAACAGTTTCAATGCACAGCTTGTATCCACACTCTTCATCCAAATTCACTAACATTTTACTGGATCAAATACATCAACAGATGTTATGTATTGCCGGCATCTCCATCGTGTCTCTGAGGATGTTTTTGTTTTTTTAACCCTAACCCTGCTGAATCCAACAGGCTCCAACCATTTCACACTGTCGATGGAGCCTCTTGGATTCAGTAGTAAAGGCTTATACATTTTCATGTTGGATCCAGTTGGATTCAGCAGGCAACTAAATGTGTACACAGTTGAATCTGGTAGGATTCAGCAGGCAACTGAATGGGAACATGCATGCAGGTGGACCATGTTGTGCCTTGTTTTAATTACAGGTACACAATGCTGGGGATTATCGACAAACAAAAACAAGAAAAGAAAAGGGATAAAGAAAAGATAAAGACAAAAATAAAAAGACAAAAAAGAAAAGATAAAGTTAGAAAAAAAAAATTAGTACAGAAATAGTAACAGACACTTTTGAGACAGTTGATGTCTGTTAGACTCAGTAAACAATAAAGTCCTGCCAAGTACAACTCTGTTAGATTCAGCAGATAACTAATCACATGAGCAGTTACATCCTGTTGGATTCAGCAGGCATCTGCACTGTGTGACACTGTTCGACTCTGTTGGATCCTGTTGGATTGAGCGGGTAAGTATTTTGTTTTGTTTAATTCCCCAGCAACTTCCACAGTTGGACTCCGTTGGGTTGAGCAGTAAACTAAAATGAGTCACCGTTGGACTTGGTTGGATTTAGCAGCAAAGGCCTGGGGAACCTGGGGAGTTATTAATTTCGTTACAAGTTACAACAAATGCACCAAAGGTTTATTTGAGCCTATCCTAGTGATGCCTTTGCCCTCTGAGGGCTCGTTAACACGTAACCTGTATTTCCATCACTCCCTGTGCAACTGTCACTGATGAAAAGTTCACCACTGATGTGATGGTCTCTGTTCATGGACCTCATACACATACATGTAGCATTAACATGCTTAATGACATCTGCTGAACTGTTGACATGAAATATAGCTCCTGGACCATCCACAGTTGGTCACCTCAGGCATTCTGGACTGAGTCTAATAAATCCCCTCAAAATGGGAGGATGGATTTTGATGGACTTGGGGTAGTCGGGGTTAACAAGCCCACATGTGAAGTAGTGTCCATGATATATTATATTTGTGCACATGAAAACCAACTGAAAAAAAATTTGACAGATCGACACATCCCATGTAGCAACAAGAAAGTGAGTTGTTACATGTTGATTTTGGTTCTGAAAGAAAGGGCAAGGCTTTGAGATGCATGTGATTGTTGCATAACAGCATCTCGTGATCAGCTTTTCCCCTGCAATACAGTAGATTTGAGCCAGCCCTCTTAAGACAGTTTAGCAGAATGTCAATAGCTCTCTTAAGCCTTTTTACACATGCGATTAGCCGCGGGATTAGCAAATGGTTCACTCATCTAAAAAGTGGATGAGGGTTTATACAAGAATGTAAAATTTCACACTCACCATTGGTTTCTCATAAAATGGAAAGCCCTGCATCGATCTGAGGGCGTTGGTGGCGCTGTTGATGTCCTTGAAGACAACAAATGCCTGCCCCCTCATCTTGAGGGTTTTCAAGGCGACAATGTCAAGGATCTGACCAAACTGGGAGAAGATGGCATAGAGAGACTTCTTCAACTCTGGAGAAGGAAAGCAGGCAAGTTGGACAAGTATGCATGAAAATATCTTCTGAACATGCCAAAGACCGAGGTTTGATTAAGTAAGGCTAATCCATTAACATCCATCTCTTGGACACGACACTATCAACATACATGTATACATGTACCTCCAAATTTAAGAAGATTTAATGGCAAACAAGAATGACCTTTCTCCTACATGTAAGCATACAATGATACATCTCTTTTTTGAATAAATTGCAAGAACACTTGTAAACCCACAACAACTGAACCCCCTTAAACCTATCTAGATTTTCAGGTTTTAATGGACTGACGTATCTAACATTATGGCTGTATCAATTCCAAACGAAGGTCAGATGACAACAATGTACACGTACTTAACATACATACATTTCTACATAATAACAATAGAACTTTAGTTTACTTACCATCTTTTTTAATCTTTTCATTTAGATTGTTGATGTAAATCGTCTGATTTGGTGGTACGTTCATGGTGAATCCTTTTTATACTGCAAAACAGTGAAAAAAGTCACGAAGTAAAAATGCTCCCAGTAAAAGGTGACCCTGTTCAATATCGCACAACACTGTACATGTACGGTACTGCCCAAAAGATTCTCCAAAAAATCGTTGAACTCGCGATTAACAAATGAGGGCCCTCGTACTCATTAAGAAATTCCCTCGCTGTTGCTCTTGAGTGTTGGAGAAACTTTTGGGCTGTACTGTATACATGGGTACTAGATGCAAAAAATGCAAATACATTGAAAGTGCACAAGAGAAATTTTCCATTCCAATCAGAAATGCTCCAGTTGTCGAGGTGGAAGTTGAAGTCATCTTGTCATTAAGCAATTCCAACTGTATGCTGATCGAAACGTCGTAACACGCCGGCTAAGAGAACCATTCACAGTCGAGTCGGGGGAGTGTGCAAACACATGCTGAACGACTGTTTCCTGAATGGGGCAACATTCAGCGCATGTAGCTGTGACTTGATCACGGATTACACTGGACGTTGCACCCTTCAGGAAACAGTCGTCGGCATGCGCATGCAGACACCACATGCTTATTGTGAATGGCACGAGTGTTGCACCGCAGGCATGTCGTGACATCGTCAATATTCTCCCTGTGTATTAGTGTAAAAAACTCGATTACATAGAAATGATTCATAAGTGTATACACGACAGTTCGATACGTCTGTTTTCTTTGTTCAACATGTTCAATGCATTTTGTAAGTGTTGACGGTGTGTTGACGTTACTATCAATGTGTTAACACTAATTAGTACGACCCGTGGCAGTGAGTGAAACTCGTGTGGGGCAAGGCAGAATCACGTGGGTGCAAATGATGTGATCGGCCTCCATTTTTCTAGGTTATGATAATGTGGATTCGTAAAACAAAAGGTTGATGATCGCCCTGTCGTAATAGGCCCATGTGGAAACATTTTGTGGGTGCAAGTGGTTTTTCAGTGGCAGCAGATGTATTTGCACCCACATGCCGCCACTGCTCGCATTCTAAATACATGTGGGTCTTTATGAAGACACCCGGTTTGTTTCTCAAAAATATACTCTGAAATCACATGTAATAGTTCATCAAAACACCCCATATTACCTCATTTATCCCCACAGAATGTATTTATTTACAGTATATTGACCGATTTCAGTTTTAGACGAAGGATTTTGGCGGATTCTAATCACGATTTATACTTACATTGAGCAAACGCGGCGACCACACGGTACGGCTACACGAAACGCTTCAAAAACGTTGCTAATAGTGCGCCCTCTATTCTTGACCGAGGCGAGTTAACAAAACCGGGGACTGTTCTAGTGGTATTGGAGGAGTTTCCCGGCATTGTTTGACCAAAACATGTTATTATTTATAACTTAGGGCAAATTTCCAGAAGAAGTGGCATTTTTCATAAAAAATAACCCTTACAGTAAAATACAATTAATTGGGAAAAAATCGGCACAAAAATCGCAAGTATATTTCGGTTCAAGCAAGGTCTTTTTTCCCTCCGGTAAATGTATTTGTACACACTTTTCTTGCACATTCAAAACCAGTATCTGATGATAGCCACATCCGAGTCCTATGTATGCACGAGTTGAGTAATTCTAGAGGACACCTCTTGACAAAAGTTAATAGAGGGACGAGTTCAATACTATAACTTTACTACATCCGTCAAAATTACATTTTGTGCTCAGTTTTTGGTTAATTTAATCCAAATTTTGAGACTTTTTTGTTTTACACTTGTGAAGATTTGCACATGAGCACAATAGTGCTGTCATCCAGATCCTAAATCCTAGATGTCTCCTTGATTTGTAAAAGAAAAAAATGAAATAAAATGAAAAAAGCTTGATTTTTAGACACATTCTCTCGTACATTTCCATTTCTTTGGCAATTTATTGCAGCTGTTTAAGAATGAAGCAGTAAGGAAATCTTCTCAGAACTGTTGCCAGAGACGAAATGTGGGGCTCAAACTTTTCTCATCAAAACGTGTAAAATGAACATTGTCTTTCCTGATGGAATCCTTGAACAGCGCCCTCACTGCTCTAGAAAAGATTGTACAATTTGTTATTTTAAAAAAACGAGGCACTTTTCAATACACTTACAATTGATTCTGACACAGTATGATTTCAAAAGTGTTCGTACATGGAAGAAGATTGTGATGAATACAAACTCAGTCTCAAAAACATTTATAGCATTGAGGTAGGAGTTACACACCTATTCATTTATAATGCCGGTCAAATCTCGCGCTAAGTCCCCTTCCCCGACCGGATCAAGTTGGCCTTTTACCGTTCAATGCGCCGCGGTCTCTGCTCCAGCTAGAGACCACAACATTGACCGGAGGGGGCGATCTGGCTAGGGTATGCTTCTTGTGACGCATCTTATGACATTATTAAAAATTACAGTGCATAGAACTGATTTCTTGATACAGTGTCAGCTGACTGATTAATAATCTTATGAGAAGGCTCTTTACCTGAATCTTCTGTGTATTGTGTGTTGTAGATTTCATAATAAACGTTCCTGTGATTTGTGAAAAGTAACCAAAATAATTATTCATTCAGTATTTTCGTGGTGAGAGTTTCGGCAACTGCGACAGTCTACAGTAATTAAATTGCTCATTTTGCTTTGCTGTTGTTGATAATGTAGGCCGACCACCGGCTGGCAACATTACGCTTGTGACGTAGCAAAAAGAATGAGAATGGTCTTTACACTCACGGACGTATATAAAAAAAAACCTGGACTCGCAACGCCTTTGTATGAAAAAGAAGCCAACCAGCGGCCATTTTACCGAGCCGAATACAAAGGCGTGGGTTGGCTCC